AGTACTTTTTTTCAGTTTCTAGTTATTTGAGTGTGAATTTGGCCTTTTCTTTATTAATGGAAGGGGATGAATACATTTGACTGTACACGCTTCGGTTTTATTCTACATTTCCACATCTAATCACTGCACTTGAATGCTTCGCACGGCTAACGGACTCGGAGCGGCGAGATTTATTGCTGCAGAAGCCTTGAAGCAGACGCTTTAATGCCCAGAGTGACGATAAAAAAACAGCCTCAGTTGATGGAGATGAGTTTCTTTATGCGTTAAAAAAAAATATATAAATAAATAAGAGATTGCAAACCATAAATAATCACATTGGAGCGGCTTCTGTATGAAAAAGAAGCAGTGAAGGTATGATAAACACAAACAAATAAAAAAACATTCCGGTCGCTTGAGGGTTAAATAACCGCAGTAGGAATTATAAATGCAACTGCAAAACTAAAGAGTTTAACGAAACAACAAAAAGCAGCTGATAGACGCGTCGGCTGTAACGATACAGATTCAAATCCCAACTGATTGGATCCATGATGGCTGCCACCACCTTCCTCGTTTTATTTACTTTTTGCTGCAACATCACCAAACTACCATCTGCATCCATCCTGCTCATGAAAATAGGAGCCCTCAGCGCAAAGAGTTAAGGGGTAGTTCTGCACATATGGCTTATTTAATGCCACATCTGGTGCTGTAATGAATTGATCTTACAATATGGCTTTGGTGTAACGTAAAATTAAAAATGTGTTATGTAGAACTTTGTGCAAACAGATATTAGTTAATCCGACCCTTCTGGCGTCGTGGAAACGGAGCATATGCATGAATAAGTGTTGCTTGAATGTGGTTTATCGGCGCAGGAGTTGCCCTGATGTGGTTCAGAGCTGCGCCGCTCTGCTGCCGTGTGCCCGTCACTTAAAGGGAAACTGTGTTTTCTTCTTCTTCCTTCTCCTCGCAGGACTCTGGGCGGCATCCAGAAGAGCTGCTGAACCCGGCCGAATACATGAGCTACCAGCGCGTCTGCAACATGGAACCCTTCCCCGAGTCCCAGCCCGCTCCGGCCTACCCTCCCGTCACTTTCCTGCCTCAGCACCCCTACCCCCAGCACCCACCCGGCGGCGGCGGCGGCGGCGGCGGCGAGCCCATGTACTCCAACACGAGCTTCCCCGCCCACGGCCCGCGAGCTCCCTTCACCTTCCCCAAGGAGCAATCCGTGTGACATGCCACATAGCTCTCATCTCGTGATAGCGCCACATTTCAAAAAGCTCCGCTGAACAGATGTGCATCCTGTCCCCCCCCGCAGCTCGCTTCTGTTTAGGCTTCCCAACCCCGCCAAAATAAAAGCCTCCCTCGTGTATTGTGTACTGCTGCTGCTTGCTCCACTGAAGCCGTAGGACCCCCCGCCCCGCCGCCGTCACCTCGTGATGTTAGCGTAGCCGCCACAGACCGCCCTCCACCTCCACCCCTCCACCCCCTCACTCGTTCATCCTCCTTCAAATTGCTTCCTCACCTTCGACTGTTTTTCCTTTGCCAACCGTCTAATCGTGTACAGAATATGTATCACTCAAGATGTTATTTTTTCCTTTTTCTTTTCTTTTTTTACATTCTCCCACAGTGGTAGTGACCTTTTCTAGCGACGTGCTCTTTTTTTTATTTTTTCGTTTGTTTTTCGTCCGTCCAATCATAATGCTTGCTTCTTCGAAAGTCATATACTATACTGTATGTGTGATCAGGTGTTTTCTGGTGAAGAAAAAAAAAAACAAAAAACAGTAATGCCATTTGATTTGTCAAACTAATTATCAATCTTTAATGACATGGACTACCCCTTTAATGACCGTTAATGACAGGGTTGTTACGTGAAGATGTGAATTGGCAGCCTTTCAACTGAATCCCCTCATTAACTTCCATAATAGCTTCGCCGTTATGAAGTTTTGACCGGCTATTTCGGACTATTAGAGGAGAACGTTATCCTCATTAGCTCAGAAGAAAAACAAAGGGCTTGAGATCCAACAGTATCTACTTTTTTTTTTTTCTCTCTCATTCTCCATGTTTTATTATCCACTCATTCATTCAGGTCTTTTTTTTGTTATTATTATTATATTATTATTATTATCTACCAGTAGTTGCCAAAGACATAGTTTCTTTCAGTTGTCGTCCATTTTGCTTTTCATGCCAGCGTTTACATTTAATCTTGTTTGACGGGGAAATAAACTACAGTTGATTGGCAACGTGCTACGCTTTCCCAAGTTTACATTATGGCTTTACCATATGCTGTATTTTCCATATCTTTACGTGAAAAAACTTGAGTTGAGGTTCATTACTCCGTGGGTCCTTTTGTGTTTTGCGCAGGAGTTATCAGCTAAGCAGGAGTTGTTTTTCTTAATGCAGGTGTAATAAGGTGAAGACAATCACATCCTTGGGGTTGTCCTGGGAACAAAAAAAAGAAAAAGGGAAAGGCTTTTTCAAGGACAGCCCACACGTTTAACATATTTAAATATTTTTTTGAATATGATTTGTACTAACATAGCCTAAAGAGTTTCGACTCAGTCCGAACTGAAGAGAAAAGCTCGCTACTGTATTTTTTTAGAGAACGCTTAGTTATATACGATAGCTTACTCCATTAGTCCACTCTACACTGTGACTGTTAATTTTATTTTTCCAGACCATAGATAAGCTACGACGCTTTGACGAGCCAATTTCTGGATACTGCCTCCGACACACGAAGCCCTCTAGACACAGCAAATTTGCATAAACTGAAAGTTCACATTTTTTGCCATGTCAGATGTACGTTAAAGGGGAAGGGGGGAGGGGGGAATAAAAGAAAAAAAAATAAAGAAAATACTTGTGTTTGTGCTCGATGTGAAAAAAAATAATAATTAAAAATTAAATCCTTGAGGTGTTGAAGGTAATTTAGTGTCTACTCTTAATGGTGGTTAATGGGATAGAGTAAAACTTGTGAGACTTTCTCCTGTGCTCACCTTGTTGTCTTGCAATGGCTCGATATGTGTGCTAGCATTTAGTTTAAGTAGTGGTCGAACCACGGAAGGAGTTTGTTATTGCTGTACCTGCTGTGTGAAGAAAAAAGAAAAAAAAAAAAAACAAAAAAACACTGAAACACATCTTTGTCTTTTTGTGACACATTTACTATTCACCAGATCCTTTCCTTTTCCTTATTATTACTATTATTATGACTATTATTATGTGTAAGTGCTATGACTTGCTGAAAAATATGCTAAAATTGGCATTTACATGTTTTTTTTTTCTTTCTTTTTTTTTTACTGTATTCATTTTAAAATGTCCTGAACATATTTGCCACGTTTGTTTTCCACCCTCGACCTTTCGTTTGGTGTTTTGTAAGACTGTAACATTTAGTTTTTATTTTTTTACCATATACATATATATACAGCACATTTCTGTTGACATTTATTGCACATCTGTGGAAGGATAATACCCGAAAACATATTAGGGTTATGACCTCTTTTTTTTTTTTCTTTTTTTTTTTTTACCCAGGTTGAAATATTGAAACGATGTGAAACTGTTTAACCTGTTTTTGTTTTTCTTTGTTTTAGTTTTTTCTCTTTTTTTCAGTTATGTTTGATGTAAATATTAACAGTGTAACTGATGTGTGAAAAAAAAAAAAAAAAAAACAAGTCATGCAGTTTAACATTAAACTTCACAAACTACCCGTTGTGTTACAGTTGTTGTTATTCAAGGTATTTATGTTCGTTTCATGCTTTAAAGATAAGAAAAACAAGGTAAATAACATTAAAATAGAACCTAAAGAGTTGATGCACGCTAACCCAAATGGGACCCGCGAAAGAAAAGACGTTGGACCGTCTCTGACTTGCCTGACATAACATATGAACACAGTCGTGACTCGATAATTCAACCCTTAACAATCTGAAAACCTTGCTATCCGACAGGTTTTTTGGAAAAACAAATTAAAAATAGCCTTAACATACCGAAAGCCTTGGACTCCAACACAACAGTTGATGTCACAAATCAGATAACAGCGTATTATCTGACTGAACAATCCCACAGATTGGCTACGTTCTGACTGCAGGACTTGATGCTCAATTCGATGACATGCAGCTACATGTGGTTCAGAAAATACCACTCGTTCTTCTGCATCACGAACTTTTCTTTTTTTTTTTTTTTTTAATGACGGCTTCAGTTTTCCTCCTTATTTCCGGTTAACCATAATCAAAGGTAATGTGATCCACTTGTCTAGTACTGCAGATGCTGCTTTAACGGCATGATGACAAGTAACAGTGAAAATGTCAGATTTTTATCTTGAATAGGTCCTAAGATATTTTCATTTAAACACAGCCTTAAAAAATTACAATGCATGTTAAAAAAATAAATAAACTTAACTAAAATTTCACGGATACCATTTTAAATATCCATAGTTTATGATAATAATAATCAAAACAAGTTTAAAAAAAAAATTTAAAAAATCCAAGATGGCTGAGCAGAAGGACCCTGATGATATGAGATGGAATAACCCAACATCAGCTGATAGATGCTCCCCTAAGTGCACTAGAAAGTTGTTGAATTAGTCTGCCATTTGGAACTGAGAAAGTTCCACACTTGGAAAAACAAAGTGGAGGAATAGAGCAGCATTTGCAGATGGGGAAAAGGAAAACAATGATCCTCAAGAGGGTAAAAACCTAAAGAAATTTGTAGGTGATGTTTATAAAAACTACATGTCACACCTTCAGCAATAACCTGTGTCATTTGAACCACTGTTAGTATTAAAACACTGATTAAAACATTAATACTAATTAGTCATGTAGTAGTTCTACTAACGAGGTATTGGTGTCGTTCATTTAGTTCTTGTACACCCAAACTGAGGGCCGTATTCACGGCACAAACTCAACGTTCCCGGCGGGTGTTGGACACCACAGGGCGACCCCTTGCCTCCCATCCTGTCTGTAATATTCATGGACGGGATCTCAAGGTGCAGCCGGTGTAAGGAGGGTGTCTGGGTTGGGGATCTTAGAGTTGCTGCTTTTTTGCTGATGATGTGGTTCTGTTGGCCTCATGAATTCATAACCTTCAGCGTGTACTGGGGTGGTTTGCAGCTGAGTGTGAAGCGGCTGGGATGAAAGTCAGCACCTTAAAGTATGAAGCTGTGGTTCTCTACCCAAAACCAGTCTATTGGTCTCTCTGGGTTGTGGGGCGGGTGAGGGGGAGTTGCTGCCTCAAGCGAAGGAATTTAAGTATCTTGGGATCTCGTTCAGGAGTGAAAATGGAGCGTGAGATGGACGGATGATTGCAGCGTCAGCAGTAATGCCACAGCGGTGAAGAGCTTTACCAGCCGATCTACGTTGGCTGATGAACGCTTGGCTCCACCTTAAAGAAAGGACGAGGATCTCAGAGTAGAGACTCCAGCTGAGGTGGTTCGGGCATCTGATTAGGGTGCCTCCAGGCCACCTTCCTTCGGAGATTTTCCGGGCACGTCCAACTTGGAGGAGACTGAGGTTTACTCATTGGATGGGTTTCATATCCCATCTGGGGTTGCAATGCCTTTGAACTCAGGAGGAGCCGGAAAACATTGCTGAGGAGCAGAACATTTTGGAATAGCACCACAACCCGACCTTGGATAAACGGAAAAAACCTGATGGAAGCATATGCTAGTTGTGCTAACAAGATAGCTTCCTGTTAACTTTCTAATTAATCGCACAACAGCGCTGACAATAGGTTCTCGCACAAAATGAGCTCATAGAGCACATACCTGGTCCATGGTATTTCTAGCCATTGCTCTAATCAGTCGAACCCAGTTGTTGGCCAAAGCCAGAGGAGATCCAGTTTGGCTGCCAGACAGTGTGTAGCCCACAGCGAAGCCGCAGGAGCCGAGCTGGACAGAGTCAGATCCGCATGACAAAGACTTCATGCCCAGAAATATTTCTCCTTTCACCACAAACACCAGTTGCACAGACTGAGAGACTTTTTTTTTTTCCCGAGCAACACTCAGTCTCTAAACAACTCTCTTAATTTTCTCAATTTGAGCTGTTTGGTTCCATTTGGATTAAAACGTGTTCACACAGAAGCTGCAGAATTGTCAGTGGAGTGAAAGCTGCTTCTACAGAAAGAGGAAACCCTCCGATGCTTTCTGCCTTCGGTATTCAAGACGAATTGTTATAAGTGTCCCCCTTGCTGAGCTGGCTGACTGCTGATGAATGGCATTAGTAGGATATTTACGGTTCTTAATGAGAC